ACAAATAATGTTGAAGGTTTTATGCTACCTATATTTGAAATTCTAATCCGGACTTAGGTTTGACTAAGTAAGATCATTGAAAGACACATGTGCAAGCATGGTTGTATTAGACGAACCATATATACAGTTGCCTAAATTACATAAACTTTATGGTGATTAGGCGACTAATTGAAGTGAGGTGCGATTTGGCGCCTACATGCTATAAGGAATGGAGAGTGGAGACGTATGCAGAATTGCTGGATTTTTCAATTTATTTTTTATAAATTATTTTAATAAAAAAATTCTGAAATTTTTTAGAAGACTAAATTAGCCTAAATTAACTTTTTGAGGAGACTAAATTTGCCTAAATTATTGTTTTTAAGTGAACTTAAGTAAATCTTTTGAGGAGACTAAATTATAAGTATTTAGGTAATTTAGACGAGTGACTATTACATCCATGCCTGCACATGTGTGATGTTCTTGCATGTTATTATGCACAATTGCATAATAGTTGCAAATAATTTGATATTCTTTGCTTTTTGCTAGGCTTATGAGTCTAGCAAAAATCCATGGATGATACATGTGGATAAGTAAAGGTGAAATGCCGTAATATATATACATATACATACATAGAAAATGTAGGAAGATATATTTGCTCTGTCATCTTGCACAATATAGTTTGATATCTTATGAGGTATTTATACTTTGACATTTTTGAAGTTTGAAGATTTTAGACTCATGCATTTGATACTAGATTTTGTGCCACATGCTCATTTGACAGCATATTTGTTGTGATAGATAGGGTTATGAAGACGACTACTTTTTCAATTCAAAAAGTATTTTTTTCATTTGATGAAATATTTTAGAAAAGTTTTCAAGTTTTGTTTGTCAATTTTTCAAATTTAGGAATACTTTATGTCAATTGAACCAAAAGTATAATTTTCAGTGCATTTTGTACTTTTTTCAAAATAAAATTTATCTTAGACATTCTTTACATAATTGAAATAATTAATTCATTATTCAAAAACCATAAAAATTTATGGTTTTTGAATAATTATTTTTTTATTTATTCATAGATTGATTTTCATTTTATTTTTGTACACAGTTAAAAAACTTAGACATAGTATAATTTATAAGATAAGTAAATAATAATATTTACCATGTTGTAATAATAGATAATTACCAAAATGGAGCATAATGATAAATATCTAATCCCACGAGGACATAATAACCCAAAGAACCAAGTATTGTCACAATTAACAGTTTATTGCAAAGTTTTACTTCTTGGTCACCTGTCACTCCCATAAGTCATTGCAAATGCTAAGTCTGAAGGCATCGCATTGCTTTAGATTCACTCTCAAACCTGAATTATCCAATAAGATCATACAGGAGCCGCACACGACTCTGCAATTGATATTTAGAGTAGAATTTTTTGAGGTATACATTTAGCCGGCAACACCGAGCTTCCGATGTACAGATTTGCTTAAATCTTTAGCTACGCTATGCACCACTCAGAACATCCGAATTGGACTCTCTAATTCAGATGCGGTATCTTTGACAAATTGAAGCAACTCACACACGGTGATAAAATACACAATATACAAGCGTGCGGAGGAATGCAGGCTGAAAATTGAGAAAATTAACCAATGAAAATGCTTCCCGAAGGCAAAACCTTGGGCCTCTTTATTCCTAACTAACTCGTTGAGATATCATTTGCTATGATGCGAGACCCCAACAGATGCGACACTAGCCGACCCGGCAGTTGCCACGCCCGCTGAATTCCTATATACTCCTACTACGCAAAGCAGCTGATACTTTTAATGCTAAGTTCTACTTCGTCTCCTCCAAACCAAAGACGAACGAATCTAGCTTCCTACCTAACTGCCGATGTCATCATGCACTACAAGCTATCAAAGCCGTCACGCGATGCTCATGTTCTCTCAACTTCATCCACTTGAACGTCTGAATCTCCAACTCCACATAACCGCGAATGCATCAGATTACCTTCGCACTCAATGCCTCATCTGTCTGATCCGCTAACTCATGATTCTTTGCCTCTGACTCCAGCAATTTAGCCTTAGTTGAAATCAATTGATGACAGTTGGGATCGCATCTTGTTACAATCTACATCCAACTTCTCCCTCTGCTCCAACTCCGAAGTGTTAGCGCACATAACCGCAAATGCATCAGATTACCTTCGCACTCAATGCCTCATCTGTCTGATCCGCTAACTCATGATTCTTTGCCTCTGACTCAAGCAATTTAGCCTCAGTTGAGATCAATTGATGACAGTTGGGATCGCATCTTGTTACAATCTACATCCAACTTCTTCCTCTGCTCCAACTCCGAAGTGTTAGCGGCTTCGCAATCTGCCAACTCCTTCGCCTTCGCCGCTAACTCAATTGCATGCAAGTCAGCTCATCCATGCGACGCGATCCTTCATTAAATGCCACTCTAGACGCCTTCAATCTATACCGAAGATCGATTGTCGCCTTCCGCGCATTCTCAATGTCAATTTGAAGGCTCGTGCAATCACGCTCTGACGACGCTCGAATTTCTTTCTCTGCTACCAAATTCTTCCGAAGTTCGACACATTCTAACTTTGTCTGCCGAAGTCGCATCTCCAGCTCTAATTCTACGTAAGATACCGCTATGGCTGGCTCGGTGTACTTCGCCATCTTTCCGTCTAGATACCTTAGTAAGGGAATGACTTGCTCGCCCAACATGTCCGCTGCACTTAGCTCGACCGACTTATATTCTTCGGCTGGAGGCCCTTCGCCACTGTCCAAGTCGACTGTACCCGAAGGCATTTGAGTCGAAGGCACCGGTTGTTGCTCCGTTATTGTCCTTCCCACATCTTTCACTACGCGATCTACTAGTTTTTCCAGTGAAGTGGGGTCCTCCGCCGTGTTTGATAATTCCGCAGGTAACTCCGAACGCACTTTCTCTAAAAGCGTGTACACAATTATCGGTCTGAAGATCGACGTCCTTCGCTCGAGGTCTCCATATCTGTATTACCTACTTGCTCTTCTGCTTTCTTTGGCGGATCTTTCGTTGGTACTACCGAAGGTCTCCACTCCAAAGGCCCTTCGCCGAAGGTGCATCTTCCTCCGTTCTTGCAAGTTCTACTTCTATCTCTGCCCACTCCGCAAGTGATCTGACCTTGAGATACGGCTTCGCTGCACTCCGTGCTTCCTTCTCCTCACTCGGCAGTTGTCTCGCCTTCATCTTGCTACGAGTACGTACATTTGTAAGTCTCTAGTGGAAATCGTTTTGCTGCGCTGCAATCAACAAACCCATACCTTTGTAGAAGTTGATGAAGAACGGAGACTGATGATTCACTGACACCTCGAATGCTTCACCAATGTGATGGCGTGTAGTAAACCAGAGGATGTGTGTCCAATGAATATGCTTACCTGCTATCGTGTGCATCACAAATCCGACCTGCCATGTCGTCATGTAAATCGTTTGCGAGAGCCAAAGGATCTGCATCAGAGCCACCGCGACATTCATGCGCAACCAATCACGAAACCCCGTTGTTTGATACTTGTTCTTGCTTGAACGAGGTTTCTTGAATAGCGACACATAAGTATTCTCCTCCGCACGAGTCATCTTCACACTATCGTTGTTGAAGGTGAAGTCTCCATCTTCCTCTACGCACGGTCCCAAGACCTTTGCCCAATCTTCCATCGTTCAGATTGCTGGATTGCCGCGAAGTCCCTCAACTTCCGCACGTTCGTTATGCCACTCTTTTACCATCGCCGCGCAAACCCAGTTCCATCCCCACAGTAGAAATTTGGCAGCGATCAGCTCGTTTCGATACACTATCAATCTGAATTCTGGTGCCTTCAATGCTGATAATCTAATTTTTGAAGTTTGCCCCCTTGCTGCTTCTTCAATTTTTCCCTCACAGACGTCGTTGAGCTTTCAATTCGCGAATGCACTCTCGTGGAATGTCGGCGCTGAGCTCGAGTTTCTCCTGATGTAATTCGTCGCCCTAACGACATCACAAACTCGTGCGAATTGAAGGTATAAGTGTTTGAATTTCTTTCACATTCGGCGCCATCTTTTACTTCACCAAAGATCTTTCGCGGAAGACTATTCGTATGTAACTCCGAAGTCAATAACACCGAAGTCCGAAGATGTTACTATGCTTTCGTCGAAATGGATTCTCCATTGCACATCTTCGTAGTTCAGGATTCTCTTTGTCTATTTTCAGCATTCTTGGACTCATTGGAACTAGCACGCGGAGTTCTACCTCCTGGAATTTTATCTATCCCCTAATTCTACTCAATGTCTATTCCAAAATTACATATTTACTTTTCTTCTTACTATTTCTGTTCTAAAAATTTGAAATTGCTAGTACTTTACTTCTCAAATTACGTTACCACATATATTTATTTTTTCAATTTAATGTGAAAAGAGTAGACGTTATTGCATATATTTAAGTAGATATTATAGAACTTATTAATCATTGCTTGCATAATTTGTAATTGCACTTCACTTTAATTCCCAAAAATCGTATCAACTACGTGTGTAAGCATGCACTAGGTTGGCATTTTAAAGTCAAGCATAGAATGCAAACTTTGTGCATGTAGATCGGTGAGTGCATGAAATGTGGTGCTTCGGAAATGAAGTGCGCTTGTGTTTGTAATGTTGAGAAACCCACGCTGTGGACGCTCGACCGATGAACCATTACCTCGTTGCTAGGTTGGAGCCTAGCCGACATATCGCCCCTCCGATTTCATCCATGATGAGGTCTTCCTGTTCGTTTTGCTAGCTGTTTCTTACTAGCTTGTTGATAGATCTTCACAAACGGTACGTTTACCAGGATTTGGATTACAATTACACTCGGTGCATTTCATGCTTCAACCAATGTGTGCGTGTGGGTCCCAAATTCTGAGAAGGTCAGCTCAGGAAGACGACTCGGTGACCAATCTGATCCACGTCATTCGTAAACAGGGAACCAGGTCAAATTCTCATGGACTCCCCGTCTTCCAGAAGTATACCAAGAAATGAGCAGCGCAGCAACTTTGCCTCGTAGACTTCGTCGCCATCGTTGACAACTCCTGCCTCTTCTTATATTCTTACACAGCCGCGTGCAGGCGGCAGACTGGAGCGCACTCAAGCCCTCGTGGAAAAGTCGATGATACAGTTACGACTGACGGGTGTTCCTGCTCGACGTACTTGTGCCTTACGCGAGAACTTGGTCGATGGCAAGTCAAGCCATGAAAGGATCCAAACCACCGATTGCCAAGGGTCCTTTACTCACTGCAGGTCAGATACGACTGACTTGCGGCAGCCAGTTACAGACACCGGGCGCCTGATGTGACGAGCACTCTTCCGCTAGTTACACGCCCCGTGATCCCGGCTGCACCTAAAAAGATCAGCCGGCTCTCTTCGCTTTGTTGACTTCACACAAATATCAAATTTCTTGCGAAGTGCCCCGTCCTCTATAACAAAGACTTGCGTCTGTTAGACGAATTTTTGATGGTCTCTAGTTAGAAGAAAGTGTCAAATCCCTCTGGTGTCGTGAGCCCTTGCAAACGCGCGCATTTTTCACTCCTGAGGTCGCTCCAGTATTCTGAAGGTTCTGCTGTCTCTGCATAAGGAGGTCGAAGGTCGAGAAATCAGTGAGGTCTGGCAAGTTATCCAGAGCTGTACGTGAATGGAACGCAGTCACGATCAGGGAACTGATAGCATGTCTGCGCGATCACGGGGGCCTCCGATTCCGCCTCCTGCTGCGTTGGAGACGCAGAGCACCTCCAGCGGCAGTTTAGATGATTGGCTTTGGAAGAAATACCCGGACGAAGAGGCGATCGCTCCTTCGCGCTCGTACGGGAGAGTGTATCCGCCTCCACGCAGTACTTCCTCGGAACCAGCTGCAAATGGTCGGCAGGATTCCACATCAGACTCTCACGCAGATGGATCGAGCCACGGGCGCCATAGCTTTTCGACCACCCTGGCTCCGTTACAGGTCGAGAAATACTCATCCTTGTACGGAAGCGGGGCACCTCCGCCGCTGTCGTCAGAGTCGGAGAAATTGGTCGCCGCTCGCATTCATGAGCTCTCGCAGCTGCGGTCTCCTCTGCTGCGCGAGCTGGCCAAGAGACTGGGCGACGTCTTCCACATTAACACGCCCAAATACGTAGAGGAGAAAGAGGACGCAAAATTCCACACCTACAGCCATCTGGAAGTGAAGGACCGATGGCGAGACATCCAAGGGGCCTTCGGGTGGGCCGGGCTTTTGGAGCCCATCGATCCGGTCCTGCGCGCTGAGATCGTCAGATATGGCGAATTCGCTCAAGCAACGTACGATGCGTTCGACTCGGCCCCGACGTCCAAGTACTGCGGGAGCTCCAAATACTCCAAGGCCGAGCTGTTCGAAAAAGTTGGCCTCCAGCGCCGAGGCTACGAGATCACGCACTTCCTCTACGCGACGAGCGAGCTGCCTCTGCCGAAACTCTTCAGCAGATCCTCCTCCGACGACCCATGGAGCAAGGACTCGAACTGGATCGGATTCGTGGCCGTGTGCACGGCGCCGGACGAGATCGCCAGGCTCGGCCGAAGGGACATCGTCATCACCTGGAGGGGCACCATGAGCACCTTCGAATGGATCGAGGACCTGCGCGATTACATGGAACCGGCGGGCTTCGACCCCCGTCACGAGAGCGGGACGGAGCACGTCATGGTGGAGGCCGGATTCCTGAGCGTGTACAGATCGTCCAATTCCAACTCGCGCTACAACAAAACCAGCGCGCGCCAGCAAGTGCTCGAGGCCGTGCGCGAGCTCGTCGGTAAGTACAGCAGTGACCCGTTCCCTCTGAGCATCAGCGTCACGGGCCACAGCCTGGGCAGCGCTCTGGCCACTCTCTGTGCGTACGACATCGCCGAGTCCGGCATGAACTCGCTGCAGCAATGTCCCAAAGTGCCCACCAATTGGTACGACGAGGATCACGCCTCCCAGATTTCCAGGTCTTACCAGCTCAGCTTGTGGAACACCGACGGCAGGCAGCTCGAGAGAGCGCAGCCCAAAGCGCGCAGGAGGTCGGTTTTTAAAAACCTGAAGGCGTTGCTGGAGGATACAGTCGGCGATGTCAGAGAGAAGCTAGGGTGGAATTGGGATCTCGACCCCCAAGAATATCAAGCTGCTGCGCCTGTTGCCGCCGCTAATGCAGGAGCCGGTGAGCGCGTGTCGAAATTCTCTCCCGACAAAATTCCCATCACCGTGTACTCGTTTGCCGGGCCGAAAGTCGGAAACGCCGCGTTCGCCAATCGATCGGAGAAGCTCGGTGTTGCGGTGCTGCGCATCGTCAATGTGAGAGATGTGGTGCCCAAGGTTCCCGGGCTGGAAATATTCGCCAAGACCCTTAAGGTTATCCAACCTTTCGTGCCGTCGGTTCCGTCGTACAAGCACGTGGGTGTGGAGCTGATCATCGACAATTACAAGTCCCCTTATCTGAGAGAAACCAAGAACTGGCGGATTACGCACGATCTCGAAGGCTATCTGCATCTCGTAGATGGTTACCATGGCTTCAATTTGCCCTTCGAGAAAACTCTTCGGTGTATTGCACTTGCGAACAAGAAACAGGATTTTCTGAAACCTGAGTATTTTATTCCGCCCATGTGGTGGCAGGAGGAGAACAAGGGTATGATTCGAGACGAGAACGGCGAGTGGATACTTCCCACACGAGCCATTGAGCTGTTTCCACCCTCGCCCATCTCTGAGGCTGAGAACATCCATGACAGAGACTTCAGGCAGTTTTTGAGGAGTGTGTCGATAGCTTTGGAGACGTCGGAATCTGAACCGATCGAAGATGGTTCTCCATAAATGATCGATGCCCCCCCTCTCTCTTTCCTTCCTTTTCAACCTCATAGCCCGGGTAGACTTAGTTCAGAGGTCCCAAAATTCAGAGGATGATGTCTTGCAATTGGCTTCAGAATTTGCAGGTATGTACAGTAGTTTTACGAACGCTTCTCTAGTTCGGGCCACCGGTAGTGGTAGTTCATAAGCTTAGTCAGTACAGATGGTTTTTGTGATGGTGCACCTGAATCTGCTCATAGGTACATTGGCCCAAGTGCATATCATAGAATGAAACAATTACACTTGATATGATTAGCTTCACCACATTCAAATTAATCCCCGAATATCAGCTATTAAAAGTTAGACCTCGGATTAATTGTTCAAATAGTGTTGGCATGAAACACGCACACAAATAGAAAGTATACTGTATGTGAGACTCCACAGGCCATTAGCCCGTGCTAATTCAACTGGGTTAAATAAACTTCCAACCGTGGGAGCGGCCTGCCTTCAGAGCATCTCATATCACCACGTCCCCGACATTTCTTTCACAAATCTTCGCATCCAATGGAGGGTTCGTCGGTTCTGAGACTAGTACTTTTCTTTCTGAGATCGGTCTTCTCCTTGATTCGTATTGTCTGCACCAATGGAATGAGTGGTCACTTGACTATTTCATTGTGCATTCGTCCAGTTTTTCCCTTAGTCTCCTCATTTTTCGATTCAGGAATTTTACATTGTTCGTCGTGCTGCTCCTGCTCTGTGAAGGAAGATCTTTCTTTGGACAGAAGCTTGTCTTCTTAAGTAGATGGAATCTCACTGCAGTCAATGTCAGAGCAGTGAACTGTTTTGTAAGAAAGGTTCGCTGTAGACGGGATAAGTATGTAGTACCTGGACTGAGGTCAAGAGAGTAGGCAGGGATGTATTCAAGAATTGCAACCAACGCGAGATTAATGGCTTAAAATTACCGAACACCAGGAGTAGCTGTGTACAAGTGTGGTGGTCTATAGGGAACAATATTGAAACTTTCCTGGCAAAACAATAAATAGCTTTACAGAGTGGGATTCGTGAGATGTAAGCCACTGCTCTTCTGAGTGGTTAGAATCGTCTCTTGGAGCTTTGGTAGATGCGAGGAAAATCTGTGAAAGGCATCTGTTTTTTGAACTCAAGGCGTCTGTCTTTCGAACTAATAGAACAAATAGAGGGAATTTGAAAACACAGGCTCATTCTACGAAGCCGAATGGAGATTAATCTGGAAAAATCCACTTGTACGCCTCTAAACATTTGTGTACGTTCGACACATAACAAGTTCCAGATGCATTCGAACCCATGCAAACATTGGACTTGGTAGTTTCCAACAGATATATGCGTTTGAATTTGAGGCCCCGAAATACGATTAAGTATGTTAAACATGAACAAAACGCCAACAGTAATATTCAGGTCCAACGCGGAGGTTTTGTGTTGGACTTCGATACAACCTTTGTTAAACGAGAGCAAAGTACCACACTCTAGCGCCAGAGCATCCACGCTCGTTGAAATGACTTGTAGGTTCTATCATCTGTTTGCAGACTATCCTGATAGGGGTTTCAGCCAAAAACATCTCTGCGTTTTTAGATTGAGCCATTACAGCATATTCACATGGCACATTCTACGGTTTACGTGATAGGAACAGTCTAATCGTGAACTGTTCTCGTTCTTGTAGCTAGCTGGCAGCCCAGATCATACGAGTGTGAGTAGTTTCAGAAGACCACTGGATTTCGTCTGCACAGAAAAGCCACCAGCATCAAACAGGTTTGAAACATCCCTCTGAAATGCCCACATGTGACTGCCTGACCGTATGTCTCCTAGGGTTTTTTTGTCTACCATTTGTCGTAGGAAAGGTAGAAAGACACTGAGCGCACTGGGAGCTTGTAGTACCAAAACTGCTTCTGTGATAGTCAACGTGGACGATCACGATGAGGACAGTGATGCCTACCTTTGAAGATATTGTTGTTTTGACACACTGAAGGTTGACAATTCAAGACTACTACAAAGTCTCATCCTGTGGAGACTTCAATTAGATTTTAAAAATCTCAAAGTCCTTTGATCCAAGTTCATCCCTGCAGAGGAGATTACTCTCTCTGACTCATTTGAAATAGTTATTATAACATGATAACTTCAAAGATCATATGGCATTTCCCGCACCAAGCGCTTCCCAAACCTCCAACGCTGCTTTTGCTCTCCAGGATATGATGAATTGTTCATGCACCCGCAAAGTTTATTTTTCTCTACTCCACCTGGACACTGAACCTGGACACCTGACCAATCTGTACTCATTCCTTGATGCCCAAGCCTAGAAAACTGACATACTGCAGCGATGAGGATATACAACATTTGATTTGTTAGGATTATTTAAATTATTTATTCTAGGAAGTAAATGCCAATTTGCGGTAACGAAAACCAAGATCCAGAATCTTATAATCTGAAGTAAACGCTACATGCTTTGGTGATTAACTCTCATTCTTCCAAAGAAAGAGTGATTTGGCACTGTTTAAGATTCTTGGTTTGTCTGTATATATATATATATATATATATATATATTAATCATTAGGATAAGCGTTAAAATGTGTGACGATAGAATTGGCACAGAAACTTCCTGAAAGATTTTTTAGTTAAAAAATGTTTTTATAGCTCCAAATTTGTTGTTGATTGAAAATATCTTCTGTAAACAAGTTTATTATCAATGCATGAAAAGTATATGAAAAGTATATATATCCAGAGTATATGACATATTTTCTCGAGATATGTTTTGAGGTGAATGCTCCTGGGACAACTCCCGTTGACTAGATAATATATATTTTTATTAGGAATAATGAAATGAATATTAATTTCAAATTTGTGGGGCTACCTCTATGTTATGCGTTAGGTTTGGTCCATATTAGGCTAGATAGGGTCTTCCCATTCTGTTGGGTTTGTTCCTTTTCTGGTTTGTAACAATGACAAAGATTTTCACTAAGCAAAACACTTGTTTTTGGCTTTTCGAGGCCTGGTCTTCGTACTGAGCTAAAGTTGTCCTCTAGGCTTCCACATTTTGATCTTCTGATTCCAAGTGTCTTTCACCTATATTAAGCAAATGATAAATGGCGGGCAAGCAATCCCTCTAAAGCGAGCACCCGGGGCCAAATTCTAGGTGCAGTCTCTCCTTTCCGTGTGCACATCGTGTGTAGCCAGTCTCTCTTACCTTGGCATACTATTAAGCCTCCTACTGCACATTCCCACCGTTACTGATTGATTCCAATGCTCTCTCTTCTGCAATCCAAATCTGTTTTTTTTTTCATGTTCAGTGGTTGGTATCCTGGTCTGCGTTGCCCTTTGATCTCCAAATATAGATTGCAATATACTTCGGCACCACCGAAATACAACGCAATCCTCACTAGCTTCCACAAGATATGAAGAAAAAAACGTCTCTTGTGTGATGCAATAAAATGCTCGCTTGTAATAATGTAATATGTTGAGCATTCTGAACCTCGTCGCTAGCACGAATCCGTCTTCGACTGTAGACGAGCTGCGCTCCAGTGTTAGCATAGAACCTCGTCGTAAGCGTGAATCCTATCTCGAAATTAGACGAGCTGCGCACCAGCGTTAGCGCAGAACCGGGCGCCCTTGGAACATGATCCAGCATTTGGGTACGAACCGGTCAAACGTACGAGGTCTGCGGACACTTCCAAAAATGCACTGCTGCCAAACAACGCAGAACGTCCTCTGTAATTATAGCCCACGGACAAAGATATGTTGACCACCACTCCCATCTCATAATTCTTCGTAAAAAATGTAGTCCGTGACCTGTCATTATAGGGAACAGACTACACTGAAATGTACTGTACATCTCTTACTCCCTCGCCGTGAGAGGGCAAACTTATATATCAGAAAATGGGAAGAAGAGATCAAGCCCAACGGAGATGAAACAGGGCTTAGGTCCCAACAGCACAATTATAAACATGTGTTGCTGCAACTGGTACAAAGCAGCTGCCTCAGTCAAATCGACAAAGTTAGGGTTCCTATACAAAACTGAAACATGGTTAGCTTACCTGCGTAGAGTTGGTATTTTCACAAGTTGAACTTCCCATCCCGACCACTTATTAGGTATCAAAGCTCCTTAAAAATTGGTTTTGCCAGTTTGCTTTTGCTTACTCGGTTATGCGGCGGTATCTTTGTTTTACTATGTGCTGTGGAAAATGAAATACCATTTGCTCGGAAAAAAAAAAAACATCCCATCCCGTCATCAAAGAGGCAGCGAATCTATATCAAATTCAAATTTGAGAGCAGGCGACAAGGAGCACAGAGCCATGCACGTGGCAGTCAAAATTCTAGACGGATTAAGGACGGTGAGGATGTTGACTACGTTGGAACGTGGTTCTTTTTATGCAAAAGCTGCAACTGGTCAACGACTAATATGATGAAAAGTTAATTTTGTCTAGTTTTTATAAAACAAATATTTGCCTTTAGGTGAAATTACTTGAAAAACAGTTGTTGGATTGAGTTCGAGAAATCAAAGAAGAGAGATGATAGAGTTTATTTGTTTTCCAGCATCTGTGAAACTCGATCAGTGCAAAGTGAGCTCCCAAAATAGTCTTTATCTTTCTGGCAATGGGCGTATGGCGGATAGATTTAAGTATATTATAACACATTTCTTTCATCTCCTAGAGCTAGTTAGTTGGAAATTTAAGAAGTTTTCATATAGATATTTACTTAGAAAATCACTGTCAGAATTCGTGAAGATTAGAATGAATATTTTACAGCGAAGGCTAGGACCATTCGGAATGCTCCATTTGCAGCTCATGGTAAGTAATCAAAGTCCTGAAGTCGACATTCGAAAAATATCGGAAAAAAGATGAAATAGCACAGAGACGTCTCCAGAAAAGAAAGTCTTTATCGGTCAAGGTCTTCGTTAAAGGTCAACTCTGTCTAATATACGGAGGTTAGCTGAGACTATGAGGCTACTTAAGGCTAGTGAGGCTTAGAAAACACGACAGGAACGCAAGACGGAGGAGAATGAACAATATGTACTTCACCAACTGGAAACATTCAAATCAACACATACTATTGGAAAAGTTATAAATGTCACGAACTAGCCTGCCAGAATGGTAGCATGAAATCAGCCAAAAAGGAGATTTGTCCCCAAGAGAAGATGTACTATACAATTTATAAAGCAGCAGCTGAAAGCAAGAGAGGAGTTGTGTGGACAACGTCACTTTTTGTACACGTGTACTGAAACAATGAGATAAAGCTTCTCTTCGTAAATCTTTCATTTTTATCCGGTTAATTATGTGGAAATACTTCGAGGCGTGGGGAGGTTTGGTCCAGAGATACCGTCCAGTTGGCAGAAGATTATTCCAATAGCCAAGCTAAGTCAGCAAAATCTATTTATTTAACCTCCCCCAGTCCCTCCTTTTTCACCCTTTTCGGCTCCTCGCGGGTCGGGCCCGTAGGGACCGGGCGCCACCCCCAAAGCGGAAGGGCCCGAAGGCTGGGGATGAGGACGTTACAATTGAGAAGGACAAGATTCATTTATAGAAGTAGGACAGTTCAGCAACAATGTGAGCAGCATGTCTGTGGACAAGAATAATATTATGAGGAGAACCCAAAATGTGGAGATAATTTAGGAGCTCGTTAGTAAGAGGCAGATTGCTCAACCCTGGAGTCTGGTACCGAACGATTCACGATCTAAGGTTTAACAAATCAAAGGGAATAAAGATGAGCCGCTTTGTATTGGGAGGAAATTACTTGATGGTACCTTGGGGAAACTCGAAACACGTGATGGGACCAACAGGTTTCATTTTACCCCATAGGCCCTGAAGCCCCACCGTCAGTGATGTTCCAGTACTATCTGGGGTTATTTCGAGTAGGAAGATGACGTAAGGGTTCAGACTCATGGTGCCCTTCGAATTATTAGACATGGCTGCGAAGGAGTCGCCCAAATAGAGCAAAAATAGACACTCTCCACTCTATAGAGCAAATCAGTAGGTTATAAGAACATGTCTGACGGTGACCGTCGGTAAATTGAAACCTGTTGGGTCCCTTCAAGAGGGTTCAGGTTCCACCGGGTCCATCAAGTAATTCACCAAAAGTGAAGCCAATGCATGTCCTTAAATTTCTATTTCATTGCCTTTAGTTGTGGACAAAGCTTCCCATTCTCTACCTCAACAACAAGTTCGCATTTTCTTCTTGAATTTTCTCCTCATAAGGTGACTTCCTCATAGCACTCTCTTCCTTTGATCAGCTTGTTTCTGGTATTGAAGTAAATTTTTTTTAATAATAACTTTCATTATTCTCGGACTCGTAATTTTCTCCCCCTACTTCTTCACAATCCCTCAATAATACTGTTCACCGTCTTTGAACTTCGTCTTTCTTCACCAATTCCATTCACGTACGGGTCCCAAATTCTCTAAATAACACTTGATGCTAAAAGGAAAAACAACAAAGCATTCTCTCTTTAAATCTATAAGTAACAAAAATAATACAAGACTAGTAAAAATTGATTTTGGATGGTGAAAATACAGATTAAAGCCTTGGAATCTGTTGCATTGTCGCTAATAACGCATGAACATATTCCAACCTCGCATTCCTTATGGTAAACACATTCCTTTGTAAGTTCGTGACATCACCTTGGAGACTTGCTCATCGCAACTCCGTTTGCAACCTTGTTGCTTAACCATGGTTGTGAACCAAATCCCATGGATTAACAATGACACTACAAGTTAATTTCGTACATTCTGGTTTTACTATGTTGATAAGTGGGTTGTTGATAATGTCTGCGACTTGGTATTTCCATACATCATACATAGTTGACATGCTCTATTCATCCACTCACACATACATAAGGAACGAGAGTATATACACAGAGATATCGAGAGTCCAGCCAACCTACGGACTCGGCATTGCCATACATCATATATTGTTGACATGCTATACTCATCCACTCACACATACATAAGGAACGAGATCATACACACACAAAGACATCGAGAGTCCAGCCAACCTACGATCCTCTATCGTTACCTACGTACCAACATAAGCCGCGTCCCAACGTCACCCTATTCAAACTCGAATCCAACGTGTATACACATGACAATCCGAATTTTGGAATGTTTGTTGAATTACACGCACCTTTGAAGAGTTGCAAGAAGCAAAAGAATGGAGTCACCGCTATGAACTCAAAGAAAGATCTGGACTCCATGAGAGTTCAATGTCCATTGTGATCTTTTGAACCAAAAGAAAGAGGTTGTGTGGAAACGAGTCACCTTGGCTAAGAAAGTCTTCTGTTACACTTACTGGTTCTAAGCTTGCCCGTGCTTGCAGTCCAAAGAAGCCTCCATCATCATCGGAATCTCGTGTTAGTTCCACGTTGCTTTATCAGTAATCCACACAGCCAGAGCCTTGTTGTGCAGATCTTACCAACTGAGTTGGATGGAGAGAGATTGGGTGAGATATTAGTGGACAAAGATGATGAAATCATTATGAGAGTTGAGCCTTCTGGTGGAAGATCACATGAAACAGTCGTGCAATGTGTATGACAGAGACTTAGTTTCTCAAGAAGAACCGATGGAAAGTACCTAGTTGTATACAAAGTCGCGCTTCCGAAAAGAGTGAAGCCACAGTTCTGGAAGGAGGCAAACCAGATAGTCATGCTCTTGACCTGTTAAATGACTGATAAAGATTATTGTGAGAGAACAGCACATTACATAGAGAGACAAATTCACAAGTTTGTCTCCTGACTTTTGAGAGTTTAGGAGTGAAAAATATCCTGGAGTCCATCTCCAGTACATCTGTCAGTACATCACTAATATATTAAGACAAGTATATCGAAATTCACATGTCACCTACTTTCATTCAGTGACAGTCACTCGCCACCTTTTTTGCATCGGCGACTTCTTTTATTCGGAGACAACTTCTTTCATTTGTGTTTTAGACGTGTCGTCATTTGTCACGATGCGTGATAATATTCCTGTAACATGCATGAGGTGAATGTGCAACGGCGAAGTGAGTTGCACAAATAGTACCCGGTGATAAAGATTGGAATTGAGGCCTGCGACCCCTTGTGTTGGACGAGATCCGACCAGAAGTTCCCAAAATTGGTGATTCAAATAAGTAGAAGGCTTATTGAAAGTCAAGTGGATGAGAAAGATTTGGATCAGGATCGACACTTTGGTCGAACTACGAAGATAACATTCGTTCGTTCGAGGACCTCAAGATGATTCGCTGATTATTCATTTTAGAAGGATAACCGAGCCGGACGGACGGCTAGGTTTCCATCATCGATACTTTTAAGGTACACCATGTCGGTCGATGCTCTCGGCACCATTCATTCACTCACATGATTTCCAAATTTTTCCATTCCTTGTGAAGAAAAGTATCAATCGAACTCCGTTCTTGCAACCATGTTGCAAGACAGAGATCGGACGGCAATCGGAAACGCTCTCATCCCCGTTCATTCACTCACATGCGTTAGAAGGTTCTTCCGGACTATACGAGTAAACTATCTCTCGAAATTTTTGCAATCATGTTGCAAGAACGGATATGGAGCGAACGGCCAGGGTGGGCAATCTGGAAAGAGAACAACGAGATCTCCGGATCGTCATTTCTACGGTGTTGGGTCAAACCTAACATCGTAAATGGTGTTCCTTTAGCGTCTAGAGTCTCTATTGTTGGATTGTCCGCACTAACTGTCAACACCTCTTGTCAGCTTCTGTCCACGAGGGTGAACCCTCGTGGACAAACCCCGGATTCGACAGCTGTCGTCTGTGGGAAGCAGGTTTAATTAGTCGCCTTTCCTCGGCGCTAATGATATGTTCAAGACAGGCCTGTGTCCGAAGTCGAAAATCATCTGGTTTCCTCTCCTCCACGCTCCACTTCCCTTCTCCAGTTGGCGGCGTACTGCCAAAAGGTGGATGAAATGCCCGTCGACACCTGTAGAGGCCTTTCTGTAGGCGAGAATGAACGAGACCACTTTCGCCTCTCGTTGGTACTCGAACTCGTGTGCAACGCGGTGTAACTTTCGAAGACGGGGAAATTCTCGAGCTGAATCGGGTGTTTAAGTAGCATGGCTCGAATTTTCTAGTCGACGATTTGTCTAGCACGTCGAAAGTGTGAGTCCATCCATTATTGGTCGGAAGAAGAGTGTGAGTTTGCTGTGGAGTGAGTGGGAGCAAGGAAGGATTCGAGCAGGGCTTCCGATCCGATTCGTTGGCCCACGAGTGAGAAGCGAAGTTGGTCGCATCTGACATCGTTGTGCCTGTGGTCAGAGCCAAGTCAAGGACGGAACCTTTGTCCTGACTCCTTGGAGGCAGGACGCGAAGGAGGTGATTAACTGTGCTGCTTGGTTCTCGTTACCATGAACGGGAAATGCACTGGCAAATGATGAGACTTCGGGTATAGTAGGCTAAATTGAGAGCGTGGTGGACCCACGTGCAGGGTAATAGGACTTTGGCGTTGTCGCACGCAGACGCAATACCTCCTCGGCTCCATTTCTCTGTGGTCGCAGGGTTCCAGGAGACACCGAGAGTCGGTTGACTAGAAAATGTCATCAACTGAAGAGATTTATGAATGGGTTTGGGCAAAGGTGGTCCATACGTGTAGACTCTTTGATAACCGGGTCGTTCCATTGTTTCCTCAGATTAAAGGAATCTGCGCTTTCAAAACTCAAACACTTTGAAGAACCGCGGCGTTGTCAAGAAGTTCGGCGGACTGCGACGTCAGTGTTGTGAGCAAATCTGTCAGCAACACGGCCGCAGTGTGTTTGAGATGGAGAGCGAGGGAGAAGTGATCTCTTCGTCGAGGGAATCGGATGCTGTGCCAAGGCTTCGCCCCTTAAGAACAAATCGTATTCAGGAGGGGACCATTCCTAGCACCAGCTATCTTGAAGAATCTTGGAAAGATGAACCCATGACTCCGGCCGGCCGAGTGTTCATCGATCCTGTTTTTGACTGCGTTTGTGTTTGCATTCTCGGTTTCAAAGAGCCTCTTGATACCGAAACGTTCAAAAACCATGTGGAGATGACAATTATGAAGCACAAGCGATTCTCCAGCAAAGTCGTGAGTATTTTTCCAGATGTGTTTTGATTCAAATGTTTCTCCATAAGCATCATGAGCGTGTGAGCAATCTCGGATTGAAGGGCATGGCGTGTCGACAGAAACAATTGATGTCACCTTTGGTTTTCTGACTTGATGTCACTGTACGCGAGATTGATAACAGTGACTTCAATCTAGACACGTCGAAATACAAGGCGCGGTCTGGATTATCATCTGCAAGGCCACGTCGCCTTAATAGGTCCATGCTTTCTTGCGTTTCATCTTCTCTATCGGCCATGCTCTGTGGAACGGTGGTCACGGTGTTGATCCGCTGAAGTGCTTCGCTGGCTGCAGGAGACTAGGAAAGGAAGGCCATGGTGGACGCAGGTGAAAGCCGATGTGAACGACCACGTTTTAGACGTACAACTTACGCCTGAGCAAATAGCTGATAAAGATATTGTTCTGAATTATACCACTGATGTGATTCTCCACAAGCCGTTTGACAAATCCAAGCCTCTTTGGGACATTCATCTCCTGGATGCCCATCTTGGTGAGGCAGTATCTTGTGCAATAGTGAGAATACATCATGCTCTGGGAGATGGTACTTCATTAATATCGCTGCTCATGGCGTGCACTCGTAAAAGTGGAAAGCCTGATGTCCTGCCTACTCTTCCTGCTGCATCGAAAGGCTCACCTAAAAATTCTCCCTCCTTCTTCGCAAGACTATTCCTTGCCATTTGCAACATTTTCCTCATCTTTTGGCATTCTCTAACTGAGATAGGAAAATTCATGGCGTCGCTTATATGGCTGAAAGACAGCGAAACACCAATCAAAGGAGCTGCTGGTTGCGAACATTCACCAAAGAAATATAGGTTTGCTACCATTCAAGTAGAGGATCTCAAGTATGTGAGCAAAGCAGTGGGTGGTGGTGCGGTACGTATCTAAACTTGTCTCTTTTCTACAGTTTCGATTTTTTCTGGGTAACAAACGCATGTTCACTAAGGCACGCAATAGATTCTACATTTGTTCAAGAATTAAGGGACATTGAACATATAATGTTACTAACTTATCTTCAATTGCTGTAGTGGCTCTGGTTTAAGACTTTTGTTTCTTTGATAGCTTGCACTAGAAAGGTTTTCTTCAACGACGGACTCATTAAGCTCTAATCTTGACTACATTGTGGCAGACTATCAATGATGTGTACATAGCGATGGCTGCGATTGGGTTAAGGAAGTACATGGATTATCGCATCGAGAAGGACGCTTCGGTGGAAGGTAAAGAGAATTTTTGTCATTGGGTAGGGAATACTGAACCAGTGGACTGGGTCATTATTCCTTTCCCAACTTCTGTACTATAATTCACCATATCTGATAGTTAAACATGCCAATCTGAGATTGCAATGCTCAAAGCTGAAGCCTAAAAGCCTTAATAATCCAGCCAGCGTCCAGATGGTATTGGAATCACTGTCCAGTTGTATATCTGAGATTTTACAAAATATGAGCGATGATCTTTCAGACCACTGAATAAATCAAAGTTCTACGGACCACTGCTTATCTGCAAGGATCAGGCAGTTGTGGTCACTTTCATCTCATTAACTACTACCGAAAGAGAAAATGAAGACGCTGGTTCTGAAGCGAAATCCCATACGTCTGTTTGGAAGTTACCCAGTAAATCTGACTTTCGGAAGATGTGGTATCCATGTGCCGTATGATATCTGTTCGTATGGTCAGTAGGCTTTAGTGGACGCAAAGGAGAACAGATTTGATTCTCAACTCCACCAGAGAAGGTATGCCTGGAGTATGCCCGGCTTCGAATATCAACACTAGTTTCGGTCACACAACTCTCGATACATTTCTTGCTATAGATGATTCCTTCTCAAAGTGAAAGAATCAATTTATCCTTCACCCATTAATTGTAATGCTGGAGTTTCAAATATCTTAGTTTACTTCTACCTTGTTCGTTAACCCCGAAACGCTGCTCATTGTTAAAATGAAGGGCAGAGAGGGTTCGCGAAACAAGAAATCACTGGCCATATGCACTAGTATATATCTCGGAGACTGAGAAATTGCAAACGAAGGTACACGACCTAAATCGGCCTCATGAATTCATTCATAGGTCCCGGTCCATTCATGCGCTCATATTACTTCTGTAAGATTCCAACAAAGAGCTGCGGGAAGAGAGTTTCTGCCTGGTCAGGCCGTCAGAGATATAGGTGGAAGGGGGAAGGAAAAATTGCAGATAACCCCACCATGTTGATGATGATTGCTAGTGTAAACTGCAAGGTGTTTCTTGACTTTAATCATGGAGGTTCGAGAATATTTTGTCAAATCGTTTTGGCTTGGATGACTTGTCACAGGAAACAAACCTTTACCTACAGTTGATGCTTCGAAGACTGAGCCGAGCGAAACTGCGGCAATTCATAGTGCAGAAACTCTATCAAAGTTCAAAAAACTAGACAAAGCAAGAGTTCGAGCACTGGCCCTGATAAACACGAGACCAGCCCCGGGCTTACCGGTAAGTTTTCACGGGATCTTTGAGCTGGAAAGTAACTGTACATAATATCTTTGAACATATCAGTCTCGGAGCTGTATTGGTTGTATATGGACTAGAGTTCTCTGATTCTTGTGAAGATTGAAAGTGAGTATTATTGATAGTGAATACTTTTTAACAGGAGTTGGCTGATATGATGAATGGAGCTGCTTCTCAAGCTCGTTGGGGTAATCACATGGGGTATTTGCTACTTGAATTGCCCATAAAGCACCACGAAGACCCACTTCATATTGTTCGGGAGGCGATGGCCATTGGAAACAGGAAGAAGTCTTCCCTTGAAGGACCATTCACTTATGCTAGTGGAAGTTTGACAATGTCTTTGGTGGGGGAGAAGGTTGTTATGCTCAAAATGCTTTTTATAACAGGATAACCCTGTGATTTCTTTCCATCCCTTTCGTTGTATTATCAGGAGTACTTTTGAGAAGCAAAGACTTTGTCGCTACTATCATGATTATGACAGCTTTGTATAGCAATGAAGATAATCTGCTCATTACATTTGATATTATCGTGTTTACTCACTGAGTATCTTGGTTGCTTTTCAGATTGCTACAAAACTTGTTTACAGATCTGCGGTCCACACTACCCTATCCATGTCGAACGTCAAAGGGCCCTCACAAGAAGTTACATTTGCGGAAAATCCAATTACGCACATCATTCCCTCAGTCATTGGCCAGCCACATGTAAGTACCTGCTTAAGGTTAAACAACCTGCCCCAGCTTTGTCTGTAAGGTGGCAAGGGCGTCCTTACACCATCATTCATTTCGCAGAACATGCAATTGATTATGGTAGCCCAATTCGCCAAGACTCTGTATCCTCTGCCAAGACATTAAGTGAAGGTTGACGAAGGAACCTGAAAGGCCTTGATGATAGGAAATGCATAGTGTGACCCGTATGCAGCTTCATCTAAGCGAGTTGATCATACGTGTGTACGAGGTTTCTGACATTTATTGGGATGCAGGCCCTGTGTCTTCATTTGCAGAGCTACAACGGCCAAATTTTCCTGGTAGGAATGGCGACTAAGAGCGTCATTCCTGATCCAGAGTACGTACTGCAACTTTGCGTTGAGGGATTGCAGGAAATGAAAAAAGCAGCCGCAAAAGTACTAGAAAGCAAGTGACTGTCATTTACACTGAGGTGTACGCCGAATTCGTCACATTTCCACGAGCTGCACTCACATGTGATTTGGATCTCTAGTCGATTTAGGCACTAAAATGAACAGTGAGGAGCAGGTAGTAGTAATATCACAACCCAAAGATTGAGCTTCAGTGTAGCATTTGGAGATGCTCATTTTCTATTAGCAAGCCATGGGCCCACAGTACATACTCACAGATATGAAAAGAATATTAGTCAATTGTATAGTTGTACAGATGACTTGTACAGATGATGTTCATACTCCACTAGTCTGCTTTAGCAAATTACCAGCCGACAACCCCGTTCAGGGAAGGTGTATGGGAGGGTTTTGAGTTCTAAAATACACGACGGCACGTATACCTCAGGCACAAAACTGTTTGTTTTCCGGTGGTGAAGAGTAGAGCAAGTAGGCACTACTGTTTGACTTTAGGTAGTACTACCGCGTTAAGTGATTCTCACCGGCGTTTTTTGGCGAAATATCTTGGGCCATGTCATTCAATCCAGCCAGTGGGTTGTAAGGCGCTTCGTTCTCTTCTGACGATCCAAAACTGTTGGTTTTTCGGTGGTGACAAATAGAGCAAGTAGGCACTACTGTTTGGTTTCGGTAGTACTGCCGTGTTAAGTGAATCTCACCGGCGTTTTTTGGCGAAGCATCTTGGGCCTTGTTATTCAATCCAGCCAGTGGGTTGTTAGGCGCTTCGTTCTCTTCTGACGATCCAAAACTGTTGGTTTTTCGGTGGTGACAAGTAGAGCAAGTATGCACTACTGTTTGGATCGGTAGTACTGCCGTGTTAAGTGATTCTCACCGGCGTTTACTGGCGAAATATTTTGGGCTTTGTTATTCAATCCAGCCAGTGGGTTGTTAGGCGCTTCGTTCTCTTCTGACGATCCAAAACTGTTGGTTTTTCGGTGGTGACAAGTAGAGCAAGTAGGCACTACTGTTTGGATCGGTAGTACTGCCGTGTTAAGTGATTCTCACCGGCGTTTACTGGCGAAATGTCTTGTGCCTAGTAATGCAATACAGCCAGTCGGTTATTGAGGCGCTTCATTATCTTCTGACGGTCCAAAGCTGGCCCATGGTTGATCGCCTTCAGTGTCTCCACTCATCTACCTCTTATATCTGCTAAATATTGTTGTATCCGTTTGCCATCATTGTAGTATGTATACTTTGTAAGGCCCACAACCAATGTAGGAGAGTGGTATATTATGTAACCATAGTGTAAAATGCTCAATTTTAGCGGAAACACAATGCAATCCAAGAAAAACATCTAATAAAATGTACACTTGTTAAGAAAAAATATCTGAGGTCGAAAAAATGTAGGAAGGTTGAGATTGTTGAAAAATTGGTAGAATAAACTCAAATTTTTATTCTATTGGATAATTTTCCAATGCTTGTCGTCAAGTATTGTGACAGCAAAGCAAGAGACCTGAGGAACTATGATCTGCGAGCAGGTACTAACGAGTTTACGCTTCTTTCTAGGCTTTGTACACTAAACAAAAAGTGAAAAGCTAACGTTGATCCAAAGAACCCCAAATCAAATCAATGCTCTTGGAAACTAGATTTGACACTCAATGGCAAACACCAAAGTTCCAATTCATTACACATGGATCTATTGACCTTCAATATGCACATGAACGTGAATTCAATGTAGAACTACTTATGCGCAAAAAATCAATTGCTCGTGGTTCTGTTTTCAATTTAGCTTCTTCGGAGTTAAAGATATCCAATCTAGGCATTGTAATCACTCTACGCATTACTTTTATATACATACGTTTCGACTAATTTACTCTTTAAATTATCTTGAACTTTTTGCAGTGTTTTTGAAAATTTGTGATCATATCTTGATATTACACTTCTATATAAAAATAAATAGCCAAGATTCAAATAGTGCAAAGTTTAGCAGTTAAACCAACTTTGATGGCTTTAATCTACACAACCTTGGAAACTGAAACTCAAGAGAGTTCTCATTATAATGTTTAATTTCTGCTTCTCTTTGGCTAGCAACAATGTTATCCAAATTTGCTTGGAAAATCCGCTGTAAAGGTCTCTACCTACCTCAATGTTTCAAATATATAAAGTAGAGTATGATCTAAATTTTTCATAGAGTCAACATTTAGATTCTGATTCTATTCAGATTCGAATAAGAGAATTTTAATGAAGAATTTTTGCTTTGATTGTGTTGATACTCAACTGAAAAGCAATCAATGAAAATGTAATTTAATTTTTTTTGTTGGTTTTGAATAGTCTAATATATATTCATATCATATGATATATTCATAATTTTGCAGAATTGAACAGACGGATCATAATATAATGTATATCACGATCATGTAATTGTAAGAATACAGCTTAAATGAAAACATAATCATGATTTTATCTATATTCATCAAATTTCATAAAGTAATGTGTAAAATAATATGCACAAAGATTTTTTAAGTTTCGAAAATATCACATCACAATTTATAAATTATATTATCAATCAAGTAATATAACATGCTTTCTTGATTGTTTTGATATTTTCAATGAAATGAAACCAGAAATAAATTCAAATGTCATAAAAACATTATAATAATCATACGCCTAAGTAAACAATTTTATCATATCGTAATTAGTCGGTAGTTGCGTACTTTAGAAGAATGAATACCAACAATCATAGAAAAACTACATTGTTTTGGAAAACTAACATCTATCATAGAAAAATGAGATATTTGCTTGATGGTACCCCATCAAAACGTAAATTGTTTGATGGAACTCATCAAGTTTCAATTTACCAGATGGTACCCTACCGAATAGTCCACGTCATCGTCAAATCGTCTTCCTAAGAACGCACCGTTGTTTCAAGGATGAATTTATCCGCAACAATTCATGTGCTCAGAAATCTTCATTGTGGCAGTATGATTGTATCTGGAGCAGAATTTTGATGGTTTGAGGTGGAAGGTGTACTGCCAGTTGCATTGCCTGTATCTCAAATCACTTTTTCAGATCCAAAAGTGATTTCTCCGATTTAGTGTGATTGTGCAGATTGTTTTTGGAACGAGGGTGCAATCCTTAATGTCCAAAGCTTAGATAAATTCGGTTGGGTCGGGAAATATTGCGGGAGAGCATATCTAGTTTTGTTAAAACTCCATTGGCACGCAATAGAAGCCATCACAAAAACACAAATTACAACATATTCGTAGAACTCATTTGTACAAGAACATATCCGTACTAAAATGCGTATTAGAACTCATCAACGGTGTACCGTCGGTGGGATCCCATCGGATTAATTCAAGCTTGATGGATCATATCAAGCAATTTACGTTTTGATGGTATACCATCAAGCAGATACCTTTAGAAAAACTGCATGGTAGAAAAAACTAAATAAGGAATGCTTCAAGGAGTTGCAACAATCTGCAATGTTCAAAAAAACAAACAAGACATTACTCAATGAATCCCATTAATGCAAAATCATTGAGAAGAAACAATCTGCAATATTCAAAAAACCAAACAAAAATGACTCAATGAATCCCATCAATTCAAAATCATTGAGAATCTGAGGAAGACAGATGCTCATAGTAGCTTGTCTATTCCACACATGTCAGCTGTCGGAAATGTGTGAAATAGATTGAAGTAATTCCAAAGCAATCTGACTTCATGTGCGATGAAGCTAAAGATAAGATTTTTTTATCTTCGGTTGATTGTTTTACCAAATTTGAATATATATTTTACATATGGAACAGCATGCATTATGCCAATCTTCATATGTGCCATCTCTCATCAAAGAAAAAAATATTGCATCAAGGTTATAAATTTCAAAAATTGATTTCAAGATGACTTGACAATAGCTAAGTTGATTCAAAGTGCGTGAAGTATGTTACTTCACGGAGATTGAGCTGAAATCAACAAATTTGATCCTGAATTGTTGATAGCTTTAAATGAATTTTACAAACTATAATCCAATATGATCTGGGATTGTCTACAATGTGGCAAAGATCGACTTGTCTTTTTGCCTATTATCAAGATACAACCTTCCAAATGCCAACATTTTACTTCAAATTTGTACTGTGATCATACTATCACGAGCAATCTATGTCCAATCATGCCCACCCATAACACTGCTTGTGTCCATCCATGCTATTCAAATTATGCACATATACTAAAAAATTGTGTAATTTGTAAATACACATACACCAAATCTTGGTTGCATTTGACAAACAAAATATTGTCCACTATTGCTAGCTTCAGTGTGGAGAGTTTCTTGGTTAGTGTATTCACTGCATCTCAAAAGTTTGACTTGATTTGGAGCTCGATGAATGTATGCACAAAATTCGTGACATGTTGGAGAATGTGAAGTCTTCTCTCTGCTTCCATCACAATTGAATACTGAAAAATTGACATATGTGTCTAGTTCTAAAGCAATATTAATGGGCATGGATTCTGTATCCATTTGGAAGCTATGCCCATCCAAACTCACGAGGACATGATAACCTGTCATCCCATCTATAAAAAATAATGTCGTTCAAAATCCATAAGTATGAATGGGTTTAGGCATGAGCAAGGCTACAGGCATCCAATGTTGGACTTAGTAGCTTTTTAATATGCCAGGAATACATATCCACAACCAGATGGAAGAGAGAAATCCAAGGATCAAATTTGTCTTATCGTGTTTATGTCAAAGTTTTGAAAATTTACAAAACTTTTTGCATACTGATCGGCAAACTAAAGTCACCTGCTTGTATTAACTATTGCCAATCAACACTGTTTTAAATCTTAATCAAATGAAAGCTTGCATGTATGTTGAAACATGCTAGAAGAGACTAACGAAGTGTTTATTCTAGGGCTCACAAAATCAACATCAAATCTTTTTGCTGATGAACAATGATCTTAGCCTATTTCAAATCTTAATGAAGTGAAAGTTTAGATAGATGCTGAAACGTGGTGGAAGTGATTAAGAAAGTGTTTTAACTAGAGATGAAAAAACAAATCAAACATCAAGTTTTTTTTGTTGATGAACAATGTACTCTGACATTTTGAGTCTTTTAAAAGTCACAATGTTGGTACCGTGTTCTTTGTGCCAAACTACACAAGTTGGAGACAATGTTGCAATATGTGCATAATCCTAGTTTTAAAAAAAGTTTCAAATATGTCCTTCAAGTATGTTATTGAATCTATGAATTGAAAGAAAGTACAACATAGATTGAGACGGGATGTTGTTGAAGTTGCATAGGAAATTCCAACTCACTTACTTGATGCTGCAAGTTATGTCAAAAAAAACTTGGCAATTTGTGATTCTAATCTCTATAAAAAAAATAAAATGCATTTTTTTAAGAAAAAATAATGACATTAGAAACCAATTACAAAACAATCAACGAGATGAAGGATTTAATGACCAAGGTTGCACAAGCTATTACAGCTTTCAGTCTCTTTATTTGAGGAAGAAGAGTTTGAAGAATTTGTTTAGTTTACATCATGACAACACTGAACTATTCACGGTTGCAATTTTGAAAATCATTGAAGAGCTTTTGGAGATGAAGAAGATTGCTGAAGAAAATTTGGCTGATAAAAATGAACATGACATTCTTACCTGTCAAGAGTTAAATTTGGATTTTGAAAACAGTGTTGTATTTAAGAAATTCGAGCCACTTTATAAGCAAATTGTTGATATAGACTATCGGTTGCTCATAAGTTCAAAAAGAGGCGAAGAAAAAATTTGAACTTCTTAAACAGCTGTTTGAAGATCATTTTAAAGTAAGATCCGGACTGTCATCTTGAAATCCAAACATAAAAACCTTTGAAACTTGCTCCAAATAACAATTCATAACATATTGAACTGAATAAATTTGATACTTGAATTTTTGGAATGATAATGCGTATTTTAACTGAAAGCTACTGCATTTAGATCTTGCTTTGTATGTTTGTATTCATTATATATGATTTAGTGTGAAATATACGGTGGCTAAAAAAATACGTATGCTTATACATTGTAAGCATATGTATTTTTTTATCTTGGAAAAAATCATGTAATAAAATTCATTTGTATGATGAATATATATGTTATTACTTGATAGGTTTTGACTTTATCACTACAAAAACATATCTTAAGATTTAATCTAAATGAAGATGTTATTATAATATTTAAAAAATTATGCATTTTTTTCCCATAAATAATCATATACATTTGATAAAATAACATATAAGTATTTTAAATTCAAACATAAAAAAATATCCTTGAAAGACATTATGCATGAATAGAAATTTTTAAATGATAATAAAAATAATTGATATTGATATATTTGTAAAAATTTTATATTATATAAAATAAAAATTTTAGATGAAAAAGAATACCTAAATACATATACTCATCCTAGATAAAATTTTTAAGCATGTAAAATGATTACAGAGAAATAATTTTTGATGATTGCATGAGTTATAAAATTATAAAATCTTAAAAGTTTTAACAAGATGTTTTTTTATTTTTTGCAATAAAAGACATGTTTAAAAAAATAATAATTTATTTTCAAAACAATATTTGTGACTTTGATAGTGATTTTTTCCGTTTTTGATATAATCATCAAAAGAAAGAGAAGGAAGGAAAATATATTTCAAAGTTAACTATCACATTTTTTCAATAGCAGGTTTCTTGCATGAAACAATCTTTTTTATTTATATTTAATGTGTCTTGAGCCAAATTAATTTTGTGACTCAAAGACTCTGGTTCCTGCAAGTCTTCATCATGTTCGCATGCTCCAAATCTCAACCAAAGATCTCGTCAGAACTTCATATCCTTGAGCTATAGATATCCTAACACAATTGTCGTTCCTAATGGCATATCCAATACAAAAATTGCTTATTGCGCAATTGATTCTAACTGCTGTGTATGACATGCATTTAGATATTAACGTCAAAGTCGGGACATCAAATTATAATTTTTAAAATAATCAATAGATATTTGAGTAAATTACTTTTAAGACTTTTATATAAAGTGAGGTTTTTTCTTGATAAAGGAGATATCACTCAAAGTATCACACATTTTAACCTTCTTTGCTATATGCAATCAATAGTATATTAATTTTGAAATTCATGCAAGATTTTTTATCATTGCTTCTTTAAATATGCATTAATATGACAAAATAATGATATTTTGTTTGAAAAGTTATAACATGAGCTTTTTTTGGACTTAAAATTGAACACACTTCTATTTGAAAGTCTATTATTTATCATGATGAGCTAGCTTATTTTCACAATATGTTTTACGTTTGTAAAGTTTATTTATTTAGTTTTTTCATCATATTTTAGAGTTTGTTTACATTATTGCTCCGGCAAAGTGTTTGCTCCTGAATTAACTATAGATGAGGCTTTTTAGCATGCATCATCTAGCTTTTATTTCAGCTATGATATTTTATCTAAATTCAATCCACTTATAAACATCTGCATTATTCACTTGTGAATTTGATGCTCTCTAAGAATTACAGTACTATAACTTGTTGCTCATTTGAAACACATACATAGCTATCCATAATATTATTAAAAATGTGTTTTACATAATCACAGAAAAATGATTATATCAGTGGAGTGTGTGACATGATTTTCGATCACCGAAGTTAAAGACAAACCTATACTGTACTTCTATTAAATAAAGATACGTCAAGCTAATGTAACTGATGTTCTAAAAACACATTTCAAGCATTACATTTGAACAAAATGTAAAACATAGTGTATGGAAATCATATGAAACTAATTTCAATAAGAGATCTATTCTAGTATTACGATATTATATATACAGACATACTTACAAAGAAGGAATGATGTGAACCATAAACAAATCGGGGTCGCATGGAAATATAAACCCCTAACAAGAAAAGAATAATAAAAGTTATAGGCAATTGTTGGATGCATTAGCATACAACTCATCTTCATGTTCTGTAACTGGCTTTTAGGATCAAGAAGGTTACAAATACTTATCTGGATTCAAAATATTTGTATCATCAGATTTGGATTTTCTACCTTTTAAGTAAATGTTGCTCCAGGGCAAATTAAATCGACCACATCTGGATCAACATATCTAATTTAATATCTTATGCTCTTGATTCCAGTGAAACAGGTCCATCTCTGGTGTACACTTGAAAAGTTCTTCATGCAACAATGCCCTGATTGATATTCAAGAAATCATTCATGGAGTATTGCCTTCGAGGTGAAACCTGTACAGCTGTGAACAATGACACACACACACACTTGTTAATGGTGTATGCTGTCCTTTCCTGGTTAGGAACGGAAGAAGCATGCTTTAGAGATCGTGCAGATAGATTCTTCTACAATCAAGTCTACTCTTGTTACCCGGAATGCCATTAGCGGAAAATCGCAAATTGAAAGTGAAACGTAAAACTTTTCGATGAGAGACGGTCCAGCAATTTGTCCAGGAGCTCCAGATTGCGATGAAGCTCAAGATTTAACCCACTCTCAACACAGATCCAAACTGCGTGTAAAATAGCATCAATCGATGGATAAACTCTAGTCTCCCTAATGCGTGCTTGGAATCAAAGTTTTGAGCCAGGACTTTTTAATCTAAAATCTCATCTTTACCACAGAAAGTGATCAACTGGTACATTCGAGCTCAGTGCTCAAGTCAAGGAGATTGAATTGCCATTACAGCTCATGAAATCAGCGAACAAAGTAACTTCTGTCAACTTGTCGCCTGAGTGGTGAAGAAATTGAAATGAACACAGAGACCGAAGGCACCAGTCGAATCAATTTCCGTGAAAACATGAAGAATCTGGTCGTTTATATACACCGGATCCAGTCAGGGCATAGGCTCTCAAATCTTCTTGACAAACTTGTAACAACGCCAACTATATGTATACAAGCAGCACGTTGTGACCAACTGCTGCAGACCAAGCTTCGATCAATGCATGCGAGAGCGCTCTGATCAAACGTCTTCAATAGGCTTCTGCAGGAGGAGGAAACATGGCAACACAAGATCCATGCATGTTAACTTCACTGATATGATAACACTCTTGCCTGCAGTTTGCCTTTTTACACTATGTACATGTCTATACAATTCGAGCACGGTGCAATCATGCCAGCCAGCCCGCCACCTGCAACTGCGACCTACTAGACAGGATCTTTCTTGTATTGCCAATCAGAAAGTTTAGAACCCCTCCCTCTCATCATGATGTATCTTATAATGTTTAGAATATCTCTCACCTCATCCCGTCCGGTTGAAGTGCTGCTAGAGATCGATGAACTTGTAAATGTGAATCAGCTTCGTCTCCAACCTGAAATAAACTTACTAACTTCCAGATTGTGAACATTGTACAGAAATCCAGTGACACAGTAAGTGCAACAAGCGTAAAGGGATAAAGGTGAAACAATGGACTGAGTTTCAGATTGATCTCCCTCGCTAGTTATTACCTTGGATATCATTCTGATTTTACAGTTTCTCAAGGGAGCTGCCCGCTATTGCTACCACTTCGAGACCCGTAATATTACACATTCGAGATTCAAAGCGATCGAACAAAACCTAGCATAATATATCCGAGAAGGGAACTTGAGGACTTCACCAAAATACGGGACAAGAAATTTGCTGGAACAAAAGAAACGGATCAGTTGTTGCAGATGCATGTATGACTGAGAACGTTGGTGATTGATTTGATAATGGACGATGGATGAACTCTCCTCAATCTGAGTTTTGGGGGCCTTTTAAGGCGAACAGCGTCCGCTGTTTTGAAAGTGGTCACAACAAGCGTGCGGTACATACTCTTAAGGCGGGGTATTGCTTCTTTTGGTAACCGCATCTAGTTCAGTACTTCTCAGCCCTGCGAAGGTACGTCAGTGAAGTTCTTCATGGTTCGTTCCACATTCAAGCTCTGCATCGTGGTTTCTTTTCTCCTTCCACATATAGCTGATGAATGATGACGAGTGAACTGGTCTTCAACGACTGGAAAGAGTAGGGCAGGCGACAGCTGTTGGAACTTGTTCAAATTCTGCACGAGAGCCTTGCAGATATCAATCCAGGTTGCACGTCCGTGCGCCCTTCCCGACGATACTCCGAGCTATTGTTAGGATCCCTACCGGAAGCAAATATATATAGCCCCCATGAAGTAGTACCTTCAACATTGATCGATGCATGTCCGTCCAACAGCACATGGCTCGGATTCCCGACTTCGTTTTTTCTTATTCATGTCCAAGCCTTATAATTTAATTATGCCATGCTTAGTTTATTTCGTGACTTCTAGATAGATAGCACACGAAGTCAGATCATGGTCTCTGACGACATCCTCACAATCATTGACGTGCAGAATTATACATAAGACAAGTTGTTGCCAGGCATATCTGGGGTAGGCACATTGTCGTATTAGGGACTCCCAGCGGCTAGATCTTCAGAGGAAGACCAAGGGTAGGATGGAATGGCCTCAGAGTGAAATGCTGTTCCGATGAGGCACTTCAGCTTATGGTTCATGAGGGTTCTATACGTTTTCCGGACCAAATGGAAATTTTCCTAAGCGAGGTCTTTATCTGAGTTCTCCCTCGCAATGCCATAGCTGTAATCGGTACAGTAAATTGATATAGATAGGTGTGAGCATATGCAGTGCACCATTTTCAGTTCATGTGGTTTCCATGGTGAAGAGATTGTAGGTGACTCATAGCGATTGTGTGGGACTACTGACGAGTTGAATGCATGTCTTTGCTCGTGCTTGTGTTTGCTGGAAACAATCGAGAAAATTCTGTAATCGGTTCATTGTGAAATCTCTAAGTTTGTGCTTGGGTGTCAGAGATTTCCCGACGCGAAGATTCTGATGTGATACTTAAAAAACTGCAGAAATATCAAAGCTTCTATCTGACAGATGTTGGTGAGATCTCGCACTTGGTCTGGACTTTCAACAATTTCAAGTCCATTCTATCAAAGGCTCGTTGGGCAGCTGGAATCTCTACCAGTGATACTGAGCAAAGTCAGAATTGAGGAAATTGGGGTCTGATGTCGACCGATGGAGCATTGCGTTCATATCCAGCTCACCCAGGGTAAGCTGGATATAAACTTGCTTAAGAGAGTGGTAATGAAACTGAATTGAATAGATGTTGCGTGGTGGTGTGTGATCTTCCAACGTTACTCTTCTATTGTAGATGTCAGAGGAATGATTCTTGCGCAGTTGAATACTTCACAAGGCACAACCTGCTGCAACTGATAGATCAATATGGGCGTCCATCATAATATGTGTATAACAAACCTCGGTCACTAAACTAAGATTTACAAGGAAATAATGATGGAAGTATTATTATATGCAACACAAGAACTGGCATCCTAAGTCGTCAGAGTACCTGGGCGACTACTGTTATCGGTCGGTAGGACAATGTGGACAATAGAACTTCGTATTAGCAAGGGAACTAGTACGAATAGTCAGATGAAAATTCTTTTAAGTGTGATTAGTAAACATACTGTCATCTTGCTCTGAAGTTGCATCTGTCCAGTGCACTCTTGAACACTTACGTAATGAGTATATCATGACTATTATTTAGCTTGTTTCGTTTGAAAGCTGTCTTGGATGATATTTCATTGTAATATTCAGAGCCATTTACGATTTAGTATTTTTTAGTACAGTTCTGAACGGGAAAAACTTAGTGCTCATTTAGACTTGACTGTTGAGCCAAAGAGTGTAGCGTAAGGATCTTGAAAGAATTTTTTTTGAAAATTTATCATTCAAGAGACCTGAAATTTAAAAGATCCAATCCTTGTGGCAAGCGACTCTAAAGTGTGCCAATATGATGTGTATATAAAGGTCATGCATTTTATTATGGTGTCAAATTGAACCTTCCAAATTTTTTCAAGGATTTCCACGAAGAAAATTAGCCGGTGAATATTGTTTGCCATTTTCTAAGTAATTTTAGCTTATTAGTAAATTTAATGAAGAAGATTAGTTGAAGAAAAATTTTATCAAATTTTACATCTTCTCCCAGCACGAAACTTTAATAAGTCAATTAATATGAGTTTTATGTTTGTAGAAGACTTGAAATCAAACTTAAACCAGATTAATAGATGAAACGAAGGACTGTACGAGAGAAATCCTTGGAAAGAAGGAGTCATTCATAGCACCAACTGCTTTGTAGTTGTCTTTCTCACTGATATTCAAAACAATAGAAGAAATTCTTAAGTTCGAATTATGAGTAAAATTTACCCAATGCCGGATGGATTGGAGAAAAGAGCTTAGATACTTCCAAGTTTGAGGCAAATAGATGTTCATTCTAACAACTCTCACAATTCTTTCAACACCAGTTCCTAGACTCCCAGGAATACACTCTCCACAAGGACCCAAGATGTACATGTAGGAGACAGTCATATATATAATGGAAGAAGTTTCATTGATATTTGTCTGTCAGCAGTCCACTGGAGCATTATGTTTTTAAAGGTCGTTGGCTTACAGACAAAAATGCACCACTTTCTGTGACTGAACACTTCTGACAGTGACGTTCTAACATGTTCCACGGTTCCTAAGAAACAGGAATTATTGAAGTCCATATAGGCCGCTTCCCTGAGGCGGTTGATTTCACGCTTGCAGACAAGATATTCTCAGTCAGGGTTAAAAAGTGAACCACGCGTACAATTCGATAACTGTTCTCGGGCTTCGACAAAGACCGCCGAACAGCAGATCGATCTCTTTGAGGTTTGGACTTCTGCGGTCATCCAGATGAGAGTCCATCTCAGAAGTCTTTGGACTGGTGTGTCCAAAGTCAGAGGGGCAACAAGTCATCAAAGATATACCTTGATACTCTTGATGGACCCTCATTTCAGTGATAGTCTCAGAAGCTAACCAATACTGGATTGGGTACCATCGCTGTTTTGTGACGCCAAGAGATCATTCCAACTTACCAGAAGATGAGCATGAAGGCACATGGTGTACTTGCATGTCATTCATGGAATTAGGAAAGGAATTCAGCTGACATCGCAGTAAGGTTCAGTGGGCTTGTTTTGTTTTCTACACATACAACTCTAGACCTCTACACAGACCTTAGAAGTACAAGACCTCTCCACATACAATGTAGAGATGTGAAAAGGAAGCAATCTGAGATCATTTCATATTTCAAAGTTCAGATTCATTCTATTCTAAATTGTATGTGTGTTGTGTTTCTCGACTACTATCCATTGGTAAGATATATCTATATTCAAATGATCCTCGCAAACCAGTTTTTACTCCACGCAGACAACGCTATAATTGAAACATTAGCAAGGTAGTTCTAGTACGAAATCAGAAGCCGTATTCGTCATGACTGGACCTTAAAAATAGCTCTATTTGCCACTTCCTCCTACACAATCACATATTCCCAGTGCTCCTATCAGAATGAAGAATGCGTACAGTACTAAGAATTGATTCGTTGTTTCTTGAAGACTTTTTCACATGCTGCTGTACGGAGTAAGATCTAAAGAGAAATATTCAGAAAAGTAGATGATTCCACTCTTTCTGGTCTGGAACATGGAAAGTTTGTTGGATGATTTTTGACTTATGTTTAGAGTCAGTCTGAGTTCATCCGACCAGTAAATCTAGAGCACGTGTAACGGTAGGTCTGGTTAGGTTTTCAGGACTCATCGGTCATTATGTCTGGTCCATCTAGAATGCAGTCCCTGAGTAGTCAAATTGTGCTCTTCTCTATAAAAGATTATATAGGCAACGAGTGGCAGGTATGCAAGTATCTTTTCCTCACAGTAGATTGCAGATCGACGGTAACCGTTGACCTTCCATTGTATATCCCAGCCGGAATTGAACCTTTTATCCGCTGGGGCTTACAGCCGAACTGTGCTTTCCATTTTCAGCGTGGACTGAAGTCTGTAATCTTTTTTCATGTATGAAGGACGAGTGATCTTTCCTAATTATGCGAGTTCTGAGCTGGATCTTTACATGTATACCGTCTGTTAACTAATCGAATCGTGCGCGTAGAATCCCGTTAGCTAGAGATTGAAACTCAGTACAGTGCTCTGAGCTCAGAGCACTGTACTGATGAAAGATGAGCTAAGCTTAACCAGAATACTGAATTTTAATGTCCAGTAACTCATCTTGTTTGGTGCCATATACAAACAAGTTCCAGCACGGGTGCTGGAAACAGGTGCTACAATCTTTACCATACACCCTGTAGAAAAGTGATCATCAGGTACTTCGTCCCTTATATTATGTTTCTCGACACTGAAGCTGAAAACAGAAGGTAGATGTTCATGTAGTTCATTTGTGAGATCCTGCATATAGTAAGAGAGACCGACTGAGTATGCAGGTGAAGACCCAGATGCACAATGGTAGGAGTCTATCTCGGTGGCTCTTAGTCACGCGCTGGAAATGGTCATTCTTCCGGTCAAAATCCAATGCATCGGTCCACGACGTCTAGTCTCATGATCATGGCATCGTGACACTGGAACTTATGTATTTGTGTATCGTTGGCCACGATTCACTTGAACTTCTCGTCGGCTAAGATCTTATGTAGTCCGAACAATAGAAAGAGAGAGAGAGAGCGAGATTATGGCATGTCATCACGTCGTTAGTGTGCTTCTCCATGCAATACGTATATTTTCGCGATTTAAGAGTATGCATATGTCGGGTGAGTATATGCAGAAACAGTCCAATCTTGTTGATATGTATTAGTTTTTCACAATTTTTCCATATTCAATTATGCTCAAAACCCGAATTATTATGATGGACCAAGGAAAGGAGAGGAGATTCAAAACTTCCAGAGATAGTATGTTTATAATCCCTTTTAATTTTGAAGCCGATTCCCTTGAGCATATATGAAATTGAATAAGAAGTTGTGCACTGTGAAATACTAATACATGTCACCAAGATTGGACCGTTCTGCATGTAATCACCCTACGTGTGCATGTCCTTTGATTGCAAGGATATACGTATTTTTCATAGGTAATTTTCTAAGTTATTTTTCATATCTTTGATATAAAATTTACGGCTAATATATGTCACCAAGATTGGACTGTTCTGCATGTAATCAGCCTACGTATGCATGTTCTTTGATTGCAGGGATATACATATCTTTCATAGGTAACTTTC